AGAGAGAGAGAGAGAGAGAGAGAGAGAGAGATCGTTTGCACGGGTAAGCGCGTAGCCGTGAAAGAGATGGAGCGAAAGCGGAGAAAAAAGATGGACGAACGTGTGGAAGGAGGAGAGGAAAAGAAAGGGAATAGGGGGAACTAGAAGGAGAGAAAGAAAGCGAGGAGGAAGGAAGATCGAATGGAACGGACACCGGCGCGAAAGAGCGGAGAGGCACGACGACAACAGGCTCGAAAGCGTTCTTCGCGCTTTTAAATATCATCGGTATAGGAGCGTGGAAAAAGGGGCGCGCATGCGCGATGCGGGGACGCCGTGGCACCGGCGCATGCGCGCCTTGGCCACTTTCTAATTTTACCGCGGCGCGGTATACGATTAGTTTACGCCAGAATCGGGCCGTACCCTTCTCTTTCTCTGTTTATATAAATCATAATTCCGCTGTTGCGCCGTTGACAAGAATTTTTCGACGCGCAACCGAGGAGAAAAAGAAAAAGGGGAGGGAGGGACAGGACAGAAGATTCGTTTCGAGAAGTAGTAAAGTAAGAATCGTCTGGATGTAGTACAGAATCGTTTTCGGAATACGCTTTTCGCGAGAGCGAGCGACTTTCTAACGAGGCACTCGTGTCAGTTATCCGGTCGTGTCATCTCGATAAACTCGGACAACTACGTAACGTTATAATAAATCGACGTTGACGAGACAGTTAGATATTCCTTAACGACCACTTTAGGTCAACATACGGTTCCGCGACTGTTTTGTCGACTGATCCGCTAAAAACGGCCCGCGCGGCCCGACCACGGAACCGTAATTGCAGCCATTAAAGAGACATTTAGGAACCCCTGTATTACGTCCACTCGACCGCGCCGCGTCCCACCACTCGTTTCGCACCCGCTAATTTATCGTATTTAGGAGGGATACGTGTCGTCGTATTCTTCGGACAGCCTGACCAACCACGACCGACTTTAACGAGCGGGACGATCATCGATTAACCCCTCCCTCCTCTCGTCCATAAAATTTTTTCCCCCATTCGGGAACGATCCCGGAACAAACTGCACGCGACAGAGATTTAAAGGGAAGATCGGAATGGATCGTTACGCGAATCAAACGCGACCGAATTTAACCGAAGATTCGGGGAATTGGAATTTCTCGTTGTTCGCGAGAAACAAGATGGAAGTCCAGGAAGTTCTGGTTCTTCGCTCGTATCCTTGAGCAGTTTCAGATTTCATTTTCGAAATACATTCCACGTAAATACGCGACCCACGGAATGGCTAATAATAGGAGGATTTGGCTTGGCGGCCAACAACGCGGCACCGCTGCAACCGCTTCCTGAGTTCCATACGACCGTGGTCTTCCGTTAATTTCGAGGAGGACCTTCTCATCAAGTCGACTCGGACACGGAGGAGGGAAGAATCTCGGAATCAAATTGCGTTGCCTCCCCCGAATGCAAAGGACAACGTTTCTCGTTGTTCGTCAAATACGGAGCAATCTAAGTATAGACTTCTCCTCCTCCTCCTCCTCCTCCTCCTCCCTCCGCATATTTTCGTATAATCTTTGGATCGCCGATGTTTACGCACCCAAAGAAAGGGGGAACGCATCCAACTCCACGTCGGTGTTTGGCACCACGTCCGACCGTTGCTTCTGCAACCGTTTTCCACCGTGTTCCTCTCGACTCGAGGCCCGATGAATTCGAATTCAACGGGCCCCTCCCCCCGTCGTCCGAGAAGGATTGCTCGTTTCTCACGTTGTCCACTCGAATCCGGGACGAGCTAAGAATAGAATCCACTTCTCCGTCTTCGCCTCTCCCCTCCCTCCACATATTTTCGCAATCTTTGGATCGCGGATGTTTATGCAGCGACGCAAATCACATCCACCAAATCCACGCTGGATGGATATTAATATAATCGTGACTTCCAAAGGACGAACAGCGCATAAAGAACGCTTGCGTAATTGCACAACGAGCTTGCACTTTCGTCCAGAATCGAAATTCGCCGCGGTGGCTAATTCCGTCGAATCAAACCTCCTCTTCCTGTTACGCGCCCACCCCTTCGCCGAGTCGAGAGAGCAGAAAGATCGGTATCCCTCGATGAAGATGATTCTTCTTTCGAGAAGCGGCGGCGTTTCATCCGTCATTTTGCATCGCGCGAATCAATAAGAGGAATCAAGAAGGGGGAGAGTTTCTCTGGAGGTCTCAGAGAGAAGTCCAACGAACGTGTTTCGTTCGCTTTATGGTGTCTTTACTCGAACCATAAAATCGAGTAATCGCAGCTACGCGATTTCTTCCTTCCTTCTCGTCCATCTCGAGATTCAAAATTCTCTCGCTCGAATCTTGCCTGCTTCGATTGATTTGACCCTTTGCGCTCCAATGATGACTCTCCTGCCAATTCGAACAATATTTATTTATGCTTGGTTCTTTTAAAATATCGCTTCACGAATAGATTCCTAAGCTCTTTACAATGTTATAAAGGGTAGAATAATGTAGTATCGAACGATTAGATTTTCTTTTCTGATCTCGAATCGGACCGTGATCGGACTACACTTTAATCCGAGAATTGGTTCGAACGAAGATGAATTTGATTTTTCGTTATCGAATAACGAGAATTATTTCCATTCTAATTGAGAAATTGACGATAGAGAGAAGGAAAATATAGAGATGTAGAAGGGTGAAGAAGATGAAAAATAAGAATAATAGACGATGAATGTAAGAGCACGTTAAGACAAGCATCTTGCCAATTACTTTATTATATAAAATATCGCCCAAAACAACGGATATAGACTTTCCAACTATATCAACGAAATACTTAGCGGATGAAAAATCATTTTAAACGTGAAAAGATTCCTCTTTTCTTCTTTCCCCCCTCCGAATTCTCTTCTCTCCTTATAATAAAATTGGTTCGTTTGATCACAGGTGTCCACGGTGCGACTGTCCGACGATCCAGGCGCGCCATAATGGCGGAGGTGGCGACCAAGAAATCGATCAATGTAGTAAGTAGCAAAACAGCAAGCGAGGTGTGTAGCGTTCAATCTAACAACGGTTTGATCCAGTTGGATAACATAACCGCGAGTAACAAGCAACTAATATCGTTGTGCGAGAGCAACGACGACGAGGACGATCTAATCCTGACTAACAACACCCGTAACGAGTTGGACACGGACGACAAAAGCCTTCAAGAGTTGATCGAGAGCGAGCTGGCGCTGAGAATCTGCTCCAACGCCGAACACGAGGACGAGGGGGAGGGAACCGGTGGAGAGATGGACGGGCGACGAGAGAACGAGAACAACGAGCCGGAAACGGTGAAGAGGATCGTGCTCGACAGGCAACAACATCTGGACGCGAGCGCGGAATTCATCGCCGCGGAAACGGAACATTCCGCTTTGATGGGGAAACCGATATACAGCTATCAGAACGGTCACATGTCGCCCGACACGAAAATCTTGGATACCTGTTGCTACGAGGAGGAGGAGGAGGAGGAGAGCGGGAGACCGGAGCCGATCGGTTACCCCGGCGAGGAGGATGAGGGGTTGGAGAAGAGGAAGAGGGAGGAGGAGGCGTTGTTCGAGGAGCGGGCGGAAGTTGGCAGCGCGATCGAAGAAACAACGACGCGCGAGATCGATGAGGGGGCACGTGACGATGGCGGATCCCCGCGGAACGAGGACAACGAAGAACCGTGTCCCGATTATCCCGGCCTCCGGCCTGCCGCGGACGACGCGCAGCAGCCGATGAGCCAGCAATCGTTCGAGTCGTCGTACGAGGCCGAGGAGGAGCAGGTAACCGTGAAACCTGCCGCTTACGTGGACAAGTATCGGGAGGAAATAGAGGTTCGGTCGGTGATCTTGGATGCGGAGAAATTGGACGATGGGGGGGAGGAGGAGGAGGAGGGTAGAGGTTCGCGGAGGAGAGAGGTTGGGTCGGAAGCGTGGACGGAGGAGGAGGAGGAGGAGGAGGAGGAGGAGGAGGAGAGTTCGGCATCGACAGACGATCGGTCAATTCTCGGACAATTTCGAGCAGGGTTCGTGGCAAGAGGAGGGGACGATGCGCGGGGACGATGATAAATCGAAGAGGAGGATCGATCCCTTCGACGCCGCGGCACCCGAGTCGAAAGTATCGGGCGACGATGCTGCTACCAAATCATCCTCGTTGGAGGAGAAAATTCTCGTCGGGGAGGCGGACAAGCCGATGATCGAGGAAGAGCCGCAGAGGGAGGAGGAGGAGGAGGAGGAGGAGGAGGAGGAGGAGGCACGTGGAAAAAGTTGGACGAGTGCGAAACTCCGAGCCGTCGTTTCGACAGCTCGATCGACGTGGCTAGCACGGAGGAATTCTTGGACACGGAGCGGCGGGTGTTGAGCGAGGAGAATTGCGGCGAGATCTCGAGAACGGGGGAGGAGAAGGGCGAGGATCGGGTGAGAAATTGGTTGGAGGGGGAGGAGGGGGAGTTGAGGGGCAAGGAGGAGGGGGAGGAGGAGGGGGAGGAGGAATCGAACGTGGACAACATGGACGAGCAGAACGCGATCACGAAATCGTCGAGCGAGCTGTCCGTGTCCGAGCCTACGTTCATCGAGAAGACGGAGGTGGTGATATCCGAGAGCAGCGTGAAGATCGTATCCGAGACGCAGTGCCTCGAGATCGAGGATCGAGGGGGGGCCGCCGAGGAGGAAGTCGAGCAACGACTCGACTCGCCGGCTCGCGCGCCCCTCGCCACCCCCGACGACGAGACCAGCGACGTTTCTAACGCGGGTGATGTAAGTGTTGCTTCGTTGTTGCCCCACTAATCTATCGACACGTATCGAGGGAGGCGAGGATGACGACGACGACGACGACGACGACGACGCTCGAGAGTTCATCCCCTTTTTCTTTAACTTTTCTCACTTGATTTGCTTGTATTTTTTTCCCCTTTTTTTTTTTTTTGGAGATGATTGAAATGATATTTTAATCGTTGTTTTGATTTGAATGGTTTGCGGTTTGTGTCGCTATGGTTTTTTTCATTGGCTGAACAAATTGGTTCGAGTGGTTGGAGTGTTTAAGCGGAAAATTGGATCGCGGGTTGTAGCACAATGTAGAAGGAAAATGAGCGGCCCGCCACGCGGCGAAAGGGGGTTTATTCCGTGGCGAGCGAGCACACCGACGCCGCCCGCGCGTAACGTGACGTAAAAAAGAATCGTTGCGTTGTGCTCGTTCCTGTTCAACGTTGAGTAATTCTTGCAAACGAGCCATTCCGCTTTTCCTCCGCAACGCTAATTACACCGTTGCGCCTGCTCCCACGCGTATTTCGTGACGGTAACGATTAATCTCGTTAACTCTCGACAGCAGGTAAGCTCGCGCTCTTTTTGATCGACGGTTTCCATCTTTTTCCTTTCTCTTCTTTTTTTTTTTTTTTTTTTTTTAGAGATAGAACGAAAAAGGAAAAGGAAAAGTTAAAGCGTGGCAAAGTAGACGTCGGCGCGTTTAATCGAATAACAAAGGCCTAATTTGGCTCGTTGACACCGGCCAACGACGCGTAACCACTTTCGTTCTCCGTTATTTCTCTCTTCATTGACACCGGTGGAAGAATATATACGAGCCCGGTTTATTCCGCGGCGACTAGGGACCCGGTGAGAGCGCGTACGAATGTAGTTCACGGCTACGGGAACCACGGGTAGACAGATCGACGAGAGCCGTCCGAAACTCGACAACCGGCCAATTAAACGTCGGATACGCGGTGTAAATCAGGTTGTTGATAAGTATCGTGCCGGTCAACGAGGAACGCGGAGGGGATGTGATATCGCGAACGAATAAATTTAAATTTACCTCGCATACATTGTATTAGGTTCGAGTGAAGGGGGAAAAAATTGTCGAATAAAGTAATTGTCGTTCGTATTCGGCAACAGAGAGATGTGGAATTTCGAGTCGATGAAAATTGAAAGAATCGATCGAACGCGAGGTAACGTTACTCGTGGGTGGGAAAATAATGGAACGATTCTTCGAAACGAGAGATTAATCCTCTCTCTCGTTTTTTTATTTTTCAAGGGGGGGGAGGGGAAGATAAGAACGTATATGAGAAGCTTTTTTCATTCAGTTTGAACGACAATGTATCGACGAGACCACGTCGAGGAAGAAAGCGTACGATCGTTTCTCGAATCGAGCGGATCGACGCGGTTCAAATTGATGGATCGAGTCCATGGGTTGCGGAGACAATGTTGCGCGTTAAATAAATGAGAAACAACGAGTCGAGCGTAGCTCGACGACACGAATAGAAATGGCTACGATAATTCACGGGCCCCACGTGAACAGATGAACGCGTACCGGAAGCAATCCGCTCGTTTATCAAGACAACGCTACGAAACCGAGTTATCAGACAGCCGGTTCAACGACCACCGCCCATGCCGTGTAGTAACCTATTCCGCTTGAGAAACGAGCTTGACCGAGATCCAACTCTCGTCACGAACTTTTTAATTCCGACCACCGTTCTTTCCCTCCCTCCGACAGTTTTCTCTCCAAATTGAAATTGGAGGAACCTTGTTCGACTTTCCACGATCCTTCCACGTTGAACATCTCCCAGGTGTCGAAGCTTTTCCACGCGTTTTTCACGAATTTCATTCGAAACGATCGAAATCGAAGTTTTTCGTTGGTTTGAGATATGGGAAGAAATTCTAAGCTTCTCGACATTTCTCGATTTCCAACATTCGAAACGAACGAAAATCGAAGTTTAGAATTCTTCTGGACGTCGAAATGGAAACTTTTTCATTACTCTTCGAAATGGGAAGAAAATTTAAGCTCCTCGACATTCGAACTTTCTCACGATTCGAAACGATCGAAATGGAAGCTTTTTCATTGCTCCTCGAAATGGGAAGAAAATCTAAGCTCCACGACATTCGAACGACCTTGACCTGTCCACGAGATCAAAACTACGACATGCACAATTTTCACAAATAATCCCGACATACGATTTACTTCCCTGGCTGTATAGTTTCCAGTTATCCGATACCGGTTCCCTCGATCACAAAACGACTCCCACACACGTGCGCGTCGAGGAGCGATGAAAAAGCAAACGGACGCGTTGAAAACACGGCTCGAGATCGAGGTCGATGCCGAGAAGAGGCGCCAACCGATCCTCACACTCTGCCCTCGTCCCCTCGATCGACTTTTCCTACCTTTCGTTCTGCTCTCCGAACACCCTTCCCCCTTTCCCTGTCTCACCTGTCTGGCCACCCGTATGCGTCTCCCCGTGTCCGGTGGAAATGGCCAATCCAACGGAAATCCATCCCCGCGATACCGATTTCCTCCACTCGTTCCCAGCTTCGTTTCGAGGCGAACGTTCATTCGTGGATCTTGCCTCGCCTCGACAGCCTTCCCGTCACAACTCAGGACGATGATCTTCCACCAGGTAGGTAGAAGGTCGAAAACAATTCGTAGATTTAAATTTCTCTCCCGTTTCGTTGGACGATTGGAATTACTCCTTGATCGGAATTAAAGATAATCGAGTGGTATAATTAGAACGAAATATTTGGAAAGATTTAGAAAAGGTATTCGCGATCTATTTCGAAATTAGATTAGTTTTCTGACATCGCTCGTCCAAATTCGTCCAATTTTCCTTTCCATCATTTTTATCCATCGATCGCCTCGACTTAATCGTCCCACGATGATTTATACCCAGCTTTATCGGACCCAACCACGCTCCTCCTCAACGTTTCCCGTTCGTTGGCACACGTTTTTCTGATCCGTATCAGGCCGTCTGCCCGAGCCAAGGGAGTTGTACGCGTTCCCCTACTCTTCCGCTCCCTTACGCCGCCCCCCTCTTCCCTCAGCTTTCGTCGACCTCGTTTACTGGGACGCGAATCCCGAGTGGTTAGCTCGTTCCAGCGGGATCCAGTTTCGGTGGAAAACTGGAAAAACCGCGCCTCGATTCTTCTGATGCGCGAAGAGAAAGAGGAGGGGTCGGGTCGTGTTAAAAGGTACGGTCGAGGAGAGGGCGATCGTGGCGTGAAAGCGAGGAAGATTAGGATCAGTTTCAAAACGGCTCGCGTGAAGGAAGCTACGATTTTCCACGGTACGTGCGAACTCGTATTCGTTTCCTTCCTCGAAAATTGCTCGCGAATCTTGCCCCTAACGAGAGAAGGAGAGAAGGTGCGCGAAAGGAAGAACGCTACTACGATCGACGCGTGATTTTTGAACGTTGTGAAAGTGACGCATCGCGTTGTGTTTGTGTGTGGGAGCGTAATGAGGCGTAAGAAGGCAATTTAATTTCACGATAATCCTCGTTCAATTCACTTTTTTCCCCCTTTAGCATTAAAAATAGTCGAAATATACTTATAATCTTACTTCTTGTGCATCGATCTTACGTTCAAATATTTTTAAACGTTTCACTCCCTCGAAGTGAAACGATAGAAAAATATAAATCATGTATAGAAATCCGTAAAAAGAATTCCAAGTATTTTATAATCTTCTTACGTTCAAATTTTCTAAAGATTTCACTCCCTCGAAGTGACATCCATTGCTATAAAAACCATCGATAAGGAAGAACAAATATCCATTCCAAAAAAAAAAAAAAAAGAGAAAAAATTCTAACCAAAAATTGGGAAAAATTAGAAAAGAGTGGCGTAGCCGTAGATTCGTTGTGACTAATTTTCATGGAGAATCGGTACCCACGAGACTCTGCTCGATGAGAGCGGGATATTAATTAGGCGGGCGACGACAAGGATCCGAAAGGATGCGTTTCGAAACACTTGGCCCGGGCCTCGGTTTCGGCGCGATTCGAATCGGGTTCCGCGAGTTACGTGGCCGTGTAATTACGGCGCGTCGAGTAAAGGAACGAAGTTTGCATTGCAGCGTCGATGTAATAAGAGGATAAACTTATCGTCGTCCGGGGAACGCGATCGTTGCAACTAATTTGGCCGAGGCGATCTCTTCATTAAGGGTTAAAGCAACCCGAGTTAAAGGAAGTCGTTTTTGTTTGTCGTAATCGACGATCGAGATCGTGGAATTTTTCGAGAGACAAAATTTAAGAGGAAGATTATAAGCTTTCGGTGGAATTATAGATTCTTTTGAGAAGTGTAATAATTTTTCTAAGAATTCCGGGGAAAGATGGCAGATTTCCAAAATATATAATCATTTTTCTGTAACTTGCGAAATATAAATTTTATAAAAATTGAAAGAAACCGAGGTTATATTTAGGCAATAATTTTCAACTCGGTATTTGTATTCATACGGTGGAAGGAGATTTCATACAGATTAATTATCCGCGATATTTACCAATATTTTTTATTAACGGAATTCTCATCCCTCGATTCCATTTATGAATATTTATCAGAGATTTAATTACCGAACCGTGAGTCGTGTCAATTAAACCGGGATCTTTAAGAGCGTCGTAAAATAAAATCTTCGTAAATTGCTTCGTAAATTGACGGCTCGACTCGGTCGATCTGTCAAATTCTTGTCGAAAGTTTATTGGGCATAACGAAAAAAAAAAAAAAAAAGAAAGAAAAAGAAAAGAAAAATCACGAAGAAGAGAAGATCACCGTTCTATTTAAAGATGTCGTTTACCGCCATCTTTCGATCGTTGGTAGAATTCTTCCGTGGAAATAACTATATTTTATATTATACGATCACTCTGCTCCATCACCGTACATCGATTGATCGAAAAATAGTTAATTCTTTTGTAAAGTTGGAATATTTTAGAAAAATATTTCCCGTAAAATCTGTTAAAATTATTTCGAACTCGAAGCTGTAACGTTATCACATAATAATACACGTAACAAGGAGAAACGAGCAATCACGTAAGAGATAATTAAAATTCTGGAATTTTAACGCGAATTATACTTTCGAGTGAATTTTTTTAGATACATTCCTGGAAGGAACTAGTTGCGCCAGTGTTCCATTGTTCGCCAGAGTTCGTGCACCTGTTTCACGCGATCCGCTTGTTAGCCGGCAAGATCGCGATTCGTCTCTACCTGATCATTAATATCTTGTTAGCGCATCGACCAGTCACCCTTCCTCTTCGCCCATTGATCACGATGCGACGCGTTTCTCGAATATGTTGCGGAACAATGGCTCCAACGATGGGAAGTTCGAGAGATTAAATTAATCCGTAAATCACACAACTGGTTGTGAGTTTCTTTCCATCCTTTAACAGAGTGTAATGAAATAATAAAATAGAAAAAAAGATTCTTCGATCTTGTCAAAATTTTAAAATAAAATTGTTTTATAATCGTTTAGGATTGATTATTAATACGTTTTATGCAACAAGAATTTCCAGAGAAGAAATCTCGATCACGCTTCGTAATAATAATAATAATAATAATAATAATAATAATAATAATGTGAACATCGCGAGAAGAAAAATCTCGCGATCGTCAACCTCGATCAACATATCTGGAATCGAACGAAAGCGGTTTCCACGAATGCGCGTTCCGTTACACTTACAAACGTGCAACTCGATCCACTTTCAAAAGAGGATTAGCAATTTTTTTTCGGGATGCGAGATAAATTACAACGTGTCACACTTTCCTTCGCTATATGCAAAATATAGCAAAATTTTTGCTCGACGATATCGAGATTTATTTTTTTTTTTTTTCGTTTCGTTCGTGACATTCGACGACGACGATTAGATTTTCGAAACTTTCGAAAAGAAAAGAAAAACGATGACGAAAGAGCGTCTTGTCGTTCTTCGAGCATTGGGAGAAGATGATCGTTATTAACGATGTTTGCAACTTTTCGACGTTTCGCAACTTTCCAAGTTCCCCGTATCCGGATGCGGCTCTCGATGGCCGATGGAACTCGGAGGATATCATTAGGGAAACTATGTTCGAACGACATCCTCTTATTTAGCCGAGATTACAGATTGCGCAGAGTTCTTGTCCGCAAAAGGACACGCGTTTAAAGCAATTAAGATGTTGCGTTGATAAATGTAGGATTTATTGCGAGGTGAGTCAATATTAATTGCGGCGTATTTGCGAAATTTATTATGGGGAATCGTTCGATAAATTTTTTGAAACTTGTTCGTACTGCTAATTGGCTCTATCGTAGGGTTTATTCGAGTTTATATCCCCTAATTTACAACACCAAAATTTTTATTCTTTACTTTGGTTACACATCATCTTCGATCCAGTGATCAAATATATCGCAAATGTATGTATACCATCTATAAAGGATAAAATTTCGAAAAAAGAACATCTTAAAAATTACCACACTCCGTGTATGTATTCTGCTCCAATTTAAAAGAGCATCGCTCTGGGTTTTCAAGCGACGAATAAAAATCTGTTTGGCTGTGTTGATACAGAGCGAAAGCCGAGAGGAAACAATAACGACGAGCGCGACAACGGTGAGCTCGCAGAGCGCGAAGGGTGGGACCAAGACGAAGAAGAAGAAGATCGAGGGCGTCGCCGGTAATGATGCCTCGCCCAATCTCACTCCCCGCACAAAGAAGACCAAAAAGAGCAAGAAGAACGAGCTCGAGAAGGAAAACATTTCTGTGGTAAGTGAAGGAATTGTGGTCCCCCTAATTTTTCACACGATCATATTATATGTTCCTCGTGATATATATATATATATCTATACAGGGTGTTGATACGTTTCGTAGAACACGTTTGGAAGCTCGATCGATTCCAGAGAAAAGCGGAAAATTTGATCCAAACCATCCTTGTTAGGAAAAATAAATTAATTCCAGATGCTTGAAAAAGTGCATATAGAATTTTTAAATAATTTCTGAATAAGAAAAAAGAGATGTTAAATCGTTTAATTTAAATTTAGATTGCTCGTAACTTGAATAAATAAATCTATCAAATCTATCTAATTAATCAAAATCGTTCGCGTATCAACGATTCGTGTCCGATCCTCTGGAATCGATCCTCCAACCGACATATCAATAATCCTGTACACTGGACTCGCTTCTTCCATGCAAAAAGTCGGATGATATGAACGAGTCGAGGAATTCGTATAAATAACACGCGGTGTGCATGGAACAACCGTTACGTCGCGTTGATTAGCGGTGTCAAAACAAGAAGCTGCGCGTCGGCCTAGATGATGGCCCCCCCGGTCGCGAAAACCGGAAGTCCCCGTTTTAATCCTTATTTGCATGCAATTCCGAGCGATGCAATAAATCCAGGCAGCTTTTCACTTTAATTGACGCCGCCTCCATTTACGTTCGTCGAATCGTTGTTGCAGCACGTCGGATTCAATTCCTCCCCCCGATTTCTATCGTTTTCCAAGAAGAATAGCCTCCATTCCGCGAGGAGGAAACTTCTTTTTCTTCTTCGTTTCGCGAGAATTTTCCTCGTCGTGGCAAGAAGAGACCGAACCTTCTTTCCCACGAGTTTCCGACTGTGCGCGATCCCGGCTCGGAAAAACTTTTCGAATCGAAAAAAATAAGTCGTCTTGTTTGTGGACGAGGCTCGAAACGAAAAGTTTTCTTCCCTCGAAAGGAAAACTCTCCTCGGAAATTGAACACTTCCCGATGTTTCGCTTTTACTTCGCTTTGCGATTCTGCATTTTTCCGGAAATTACTCCCTTTGATTACCTTGCATTTGTTAAATTTTCCAACTAATAAAATCCTTAGAAGAATCGGCAAATAACAAGCAAATAATCGAAGCATAGATCCAGGGTTGAAAATTCATTTGTCATATCATAAATCATCTTACAAGTAAAAATATATACAAAGCGTGTAATTAATTATACTAATATAAAATACTCGAATGAAGGCAAATCTAATCGGGTGATAAAACGGTGTTGCATGTACAGTGTGCGCGTGTTTGTCTGTTTGTCAGAGCTGTAACTTGCAAGAGACGAGCATGCACCCTGGTCCCCGGCAGATGAACTCGGAAACCCTTGATTTCTCGGACGAGGACGATCTGTCGAACGTCAACGTGAAATCTCTGGTAAGTTTCCTCTCTGGCCGGAAACGATCCATCGGATTATTGATTCCCCGGAACGGAGTTTTCGCGCGCGAGAATTGGCCGGGTTGCCCCCTCGCAAGGGGCACGTAATGCGCAGACTCGCCGCGTGGCGGCTCGCGTGCCCTTCCTGTTCGACCGACCGAGCAAGGAATTCTACGCTCGCGTGCAGACGCCATTTCTTTTCGTTTTTCTCTCCTTTTTTTTTTTTTCTTCTCTTCTTTTCTTTTCCCTCGTCTTGACGCGATCGGTGAAGAAAAACCGGTAAACGTGGTACCGTTTTCCGCGAATAACCAAACGTAAAGTTTACGTAATTCGGTTAAAAAGTTTCCAACCAAAGAGAAAATGAATTTGTGTCGATTCACCGTGCCCATCCGACCCGTGATCCGAATAAATATTGAAAAAAGTTATCGAATTCGTGTCGAAGTTACGAAAGAAAATTAGATAGGTTCGTAATTGGAAGAATAATTAATAGAAGAGGATAACGAGTGCGAATAATCGCTCGATCGATCCCGTTGCGTTGTCCAGCAACGATTCGCGATCGAGAGATCGATGTTGCGTGTAAATTTTTTGTCGATAAGCTCGTAAGTTGAGCTTAAGACTTAGATCTAGTCCGCTTCACGTGTTTGAGGCAAAGACACGTAAAATTGGTAGCTAATTAATATTCCCTGTGTATTAATTTACCACACGTAAAATTACTCACTCCACATGCATGCGTAAATCGATCGTAATATCGAGAGTATCGCGATACTACCGTTTCCATCCAACAATAATAGTAGTAAAATCAGATTGAAATATATCCCAAGTAGATTATGAATCACCGTACAATCCAGTCGCATGTGGATTTGCTTTTGTATTGTACCCTGTGCATTGTATTTTGTGCATGCAGACTCAGAATTATGTATCGGAGGCGACGCGAAACGAGCAAGATCGATGCACGAAGGAAAAGATCGCGACAGGCGTGTCGATCAAACAGTTGGT